GTGTGTGTATATATATATATATATATATATATATATATACACACACATATAAATTAAGTGTGTAACAAACTTGTAATTAACTTTATATATCTGTGATATTATATATTAACCATTTCCAGTGAGGTTATATCATTTTTAATTATAGCTGGAATGTTATTTCAAGATGTTTTTTGGATAAGATTTTTATTGGGGGTGGTGAAAATCCCTAAATTTCCTGCCTGAGCAGCTACAGCTTGTCAATATATGAAACAAAGCTAAATATCTGTAAACTTTGTATATACTCATTTAATTTTTGCTAAAATAGTTTGAAATAGCTTGTGCCTTGAACTAATACAAGTTATTACAGATTTTGTAGTTTGTATTCACAAGCAAGGCAATAAATCATCTTAATGGGTTTCCTTGCATGTTTGTTTCGTTGAAGTAATTGCTTTGGTATTTCTTTTTATACATGTACAAACTCCTATTGTTATAACATGAAATTAGCCATTAACAGCAGTTTCATAACACGTTCCTTGGGCAAAGGTAGAGACCCTGACAGCAGAGTATCTCTGAACAGCTTTAAATATTTTAGATAACTTTTACGTACAAGATAAAGTAAGAGAAATACTACTCATTTATATCATGACTTCATTTAGTCTATTACAGTATGAGCATGAAAAAAAAGACTTTCAAGTGAAAGGTACAGGGTAATACATAAATGTGTAGTAAATAACTATGTAATTGTGTTTTTTGTATTATAAATCATAAATGTACTAAAATAATAACATTCATATTTTAAAAGTTGTCATGGTTATCATGCTGTGTTTCAGATAAGGTGATGTTTACAATTAGTTATTCATTTTTTGTTAATGTAAGATTATAGTTGGCCAGAATAGTGCCAGCAGCATGAAAGGGATTCATTTTTCTTCTTAAGCTGAAATGTAGTAACAAAATAAAACTTACACAATATACTGTTTTCGCTCTTAAAAACTGTCTGACGTTTACCAAGACGCATGGTTCCTCCCATATGACCTGGATTGTGTTCTGGCATGTCAATAACCTAGATTAATAAATACCAATTATGAGAGTATTGTCTCTCAGAAATGTAAACTTGACACTAAATGTTATAGTCTTGTTGCACACCAAAATGACATTTCTTGAGAACACTGTTTGCTAGTATGATATTCAATACAATAAATGTAACAGATTATTCATCAACCCTTTCACATCAACATACTTACATTGTAAGTTATGTAACTCTCTCAAATTTCATTCCAAAAATAAAATAGTGCATGAAACTGAAACTTTTCTAAGTGCATGTAGTTTCAGAAGAATCAAATAATATATTTTTTTTCTACTATAAATTTGTTATTGTAGTTATTTGCACTCAGATTTTGAGTAGTTAAGGTTATATTCAGTATAAAATACTTTTTTAACATAGTTTTCCAATTTCATTTGCATAACCTTTAGAACCTTGTAAATATTTATCCAAATGTTTTGAAGGTAAGTGTTTATATTTTTATTTTCTCTATCATATCACTAACTGTAGCTATTATCAACATACAATGCAATAAATTGTTTAAAATTAAGAAATATAAATATGTATATACCTTTAAATTCTTTATCAAATAATCTTAAAATATCTTTTGGTTATTTTTTTTTTTATAATTTCAGGTCTTTACATTTGTCATTTATTTATTTTCAATGTTTTATTTTTCCTTTCCTGTCCTTTATGAAACATGCCAATGGGTGCCTTCAGAGCATACTACAGTATCTTTGGTAGATAGGCAAGCCTTTGACAAATTTTTTGTTCACTCGCACAGTAAATTTACCCTCAAGAACCAAGGTAAAGTTTGGATTATATTAAAACATTATTAAACCTTTCAAATATGAATTTTAAAACATAAATAATACATAATTAACTAAAATATAAAAGTAAAATCTAAATACAATTTAACTGTATCTAATATGTATCTAGGCTAAATGATTGTGAGGACAAAATTACCAAACCATGCTTTTGGCTGTTTGACATACTTAGTAATGAATACTGTGTGCCAATTCTAAAATAACAATTGGGAGATTGTAGTTTAAAATGAGCTTTATTGGTTATAAACATGTCAATCAAATAAATACATATTGCTTGAAATAATATGTCCATATGAAAAGGTGAGCATGGCTACTGTCAAGGAGTGAGAAAGTATTTTTTTTTTTATGAGCACCTGTTGACCTGATGGAATTTGAACTAACAGATAAAAGGTGCTGTACAAGTATATTCAGTTTAGACATACATATACACTGTACATAAACTATTATTGAAGTAACAGAGACAAAACTTCAAGATCTGTAATCGCTCATGCATCACGTGACAACAAAATTAAAGTTTAAGTATTTTTTAGTTAAAGGTTTCTTTTAAAATAAAGGAATTCAAACTTATATGATATAAAAACTTTGAATTATAATGTACTTAATAATGCTAATTTCAATAGAATACATTGATAGTAAAGTTGCTTAATTAAATTTTGAATGTAGTCGACGTGAAAGAGTTAAAAAACCATGGGAAATATTCAAGATTTTTATAACTTACAAAGAAATTCATACATAGCATTAAGAATATAAAATAAGCTACAAGTCTGAACCACACTTATTTTTTTTATAGAAACTATAACATGTTAAAAATAAACCATCATTAGTAAACAATATATTCTAAAACAATCTTAGTCTGAATAGTAATTTCCACTAACAGTTATAGGATTAAGTAATTATTCTGATCTTTGCCTCTAATATGTGTGAGATATTAGGTAATAGCCTACCACAGGGTAAGGAGTATCAGGGTCAACCTCAGTTGAGTTAGCATTTTTCCAGTCTAGTGTATTTCGAGCAAACTCTATCACAGCACACTGAAGGCCAAGACACACACCTGAGGATTATACAAAAACATTATTATACGTGTATAAACTATGACAAAGAAACATATTTTTTAAACTTCATCATTCTTTAAAAAGGTCATGTAATTGTTAATTTAACTTGAATTGTAGGTATGGCTTTATATAAACTTGTAATGCCATTATTAACAAATTCTACAATAAGGAAAACAATTAGACTATACTTTGAAATTTAACACGAACACTACATGCAATGTCTATGCTCTAAAAATATGCATTAACAGACCAAGGCACAAAGTATTTGTGTTTGTCTGTTCCAGAAAAAAATTATACAAAGCAACAGTTTAAGTCTAATTCAATAAAAGGTAAATCTAAACAGCATTTACAATAACACCTCTATCACTTTTACAACTTTAAAATACGAAAATGGCTCTTAAAGGGGATAAAATCTCACAAACATGCACATTTTTTTCATATATATTTACACATACAGCATATTGCAATTTGACTATACCTAAGAAAGGTTTTTTGTTCTTTCTTGCCCACTCAATGGCAGTTATTTTCCCCTCAATTCCCCGAATTCCGAATCCTCCAGGTACCAACAAACCACTAGAAAAGAAAAAACTATCTTATAACACATACACCTAATGAGGCAGCAAAGCCAAAATCAACATATATAAAGGACAGGCAAGTGAAATTAGGACAGAAACTACAAAAGTGAAAGGGTGGAAACTAGCTAAGTGAAAAAAGGTGGTATTTGTAAAAGCAGAACTGACACCTATGGAGATATTAGGATAATATACAGTTATGTACTTTATCTTGATATTTAAAATATGAACACTTAATTCTCCTGTTGAATACTTTTTCTTATAAACGTACACAACCTACTTAAGTTAAAATACAGAATCAGCTGTTTTAACATATAAAACATGGTGAATCTTTGTTTTTCTAGACAAATTGTAAACTTTACGATTCTGGTAACGAACATGATGATACAAATTGACTGAACTGACTTAACATATGTTAGTCATGTAGTTTAGACCTTGCATGAGTATGTGTGTGTAAACCAAAATATGATTTCCAACTTACATTACGTACTGTCGGCAAGAGTAGTTCATGTGAATGAGGGGATTAATCATAATGTTTTCATGTTGATACCCTAATTTGTTTTAATGATTTTGAAAGAAAAAAAACTGCACATGAACATGAAATCAACTAAAAAAAAAAAAAATTTGAATTTTTTTTTCAAATTAAAAAGAAAGCAAAATCAAATTGGCTTGTGTTTGAATCTTGTTTGCTGCAATATAAAAATGGCTTCAAAAAATGAAAGAAAGCCATTATTTACAACCTACACTTTCATGGTATACTTATGTTCCTATAAGTTTACTACATTTGTCCATAGTTCAACTGTTATTTTGCTGGACTTACTAATCCTGTCAGTAAATGGAGTATTAATCAAGAGTTCAGTCAGTTAGTGTTTAGTGTCTAATAACTTTTTTAAAAACCAGAAGATGACTCAGCCTACATATAATCTCATGTCACGCAAGACTTGAGTTAGCATGTGTGTAGGGCCTTTACTCAATTTGAACCAATTCTGTAAAGTATGAATTCAAAAAAGTACCATAAGGTAGGAGGGAAGAGGAGTACAAAAAAAACAAAACATTTTTACTGTAGTATCTGGATGTTTAGCACAAGAAAAAAACACATTTAATGGTGAATGTCTCGTACCTTTGCCATTCTTTATGACCATAACTTAATAATTATTTAAAAATAACTGAATTAGTGTTCAATGTTTTAAAATTACTCTGAGAACAAACTATATATAGCACTTATCAATAAATGCACTTCTAATTAACAAATTTCAACTTCCATATTTAGTTGTTTATTTTAGTACAAAGATGTACAGTGGGCCATCTGTGTTGTTCAAAGTGACCAAACCTTGAATTCTAGTGTTATATTTAGTGATTATAAAGTTGAACAGTGTATCAAGCCTAATATTTAAGAGCTAACAGTATTTATAGTTTGTCAAATATAAAAGACTGTTTAGTGTAGGTAATATTATTAATTTATTTATTTTGTGTTTGTAATTCATTGATGTGAAGGCTATAGAGATTTCTAGAAGGCCTAAGTGATAGTTGTATAAATAATGGTGACCAGACGAGCAAAAACAGAGTAAAAAGTCATGGGAATGAGAAGTTCAATGAGAGAAAAGTTATAAAATGCAAAGTTAACTGTCATAGGAGTGAAAGGCCTAATGGTTGATATGTTAGAGTGAGATTAGTAGTTTGAAAGAGATAAGGAGAACAGTTTGTCTTGTCAAAGGGTGTTCTAAGCTAATTGAACCTACCTGTGTGGACTTTGACAAAATCAGAAAATTATTGGAAGTAAAAGATACAACTGCGGTAACTCATGCGACAGCACAAGTGAATTATATACGGATACTATTGCAATGTATATAATAGAAAATAGTTCAGCTTGTCAACTGGATTCTAAAGCAATTGAATAGGCCTAAGTGGACTTTTGACAAGAAAACTGTATAGCGTATAAAGATACAATTATGATCTCCATAGTGTAAAGAAATTTTTATATATATATATATATTCAACCTGTTTCTAATATATATATATAATTTTAAAAACAAGTGAAATGCATGGTGTTTGTTTATTGTCGAATTTATCGCCAACAAGTCACAAACACCTACTGTAGAAGAATCCTTAGCCCAACACACCTATATTTAACTTACATTACTATATTATATATATATACTACTACTAAAAAGTAAGTTTTCTGACAGTTTCATACTTACTCATGACCAGCCAAATTTGTATGTAGTGAATCTGATACTTAGGATCAACTAAATTTGTAAGTAACAAGTGTGATACTTACTCTGGGTCAATTAAGTTTGTATGTAACAAATGTGATACTTATGGTCAACCAATGTTTATATATAAAGAATCTTATACTTACTCAGACTTGCACAGTTGCTGACAAGCTTCATGAAACTGTACTGGATTTTCTTCTCTTTTTTGGAGTTCTAAATCAGCAGCTTCAATGTACTATAAAACAAATAAAACAGCTTAATCAAGTGTGACTATACAACTATCAGATTAACATATCTTTGAATTTTTATAATACATTAAACTGGATCTTGTTTCAACAATACATAATTTAGTTTCAGAAAATCTTAAATATGACAAGCTAAGAATGCTTCATTATTTCATGGTATCACAAAGCTCTCTTTGGCATCCACAGTTAACCTTACATATAAATATAATTTGGATTTAAAAAAAAAAACTACCATAAATTCATCCTTCACACAAAATTCTTTTTATCTTCAGAACCGAATTTTTGTTTTGATATTCCTTCAATCAATCACCCACTTATATATCTACGTTTAATTTTCTCTTCTTTAAAAAAAAATTCATTTAGTAAAGCATATATAACAACTTAAAAGGCACAATCTTAATCACTTTCCGCACACTTTGAATGCATTAATTTAGTATTATTTTGTATGATGCACCTACATGAAAGTCTTGGTACTACTTTTAATAGTGTTTAACTTAAAGTTGCAAGCTAGTGAGGCACGATGCATGGAAGTTTTGGTGCTACTCTTACCTTAAGGTTTAACTTATAGTTGCATGCTAGTGAGGCATGCTGAAGTGCTTTGGTTACTGAAGCATAGGAATCTTCAAGTTGGGTGTACTTGCCAACAAGTGCTATGGTTACCTCTTTCACTAAATGATCAAACCTGTCTACTAAATCCTGCCACTTAGATAGGAACCGCCGAGGTCGCTTGGAAGGGAGATTCAGTTGTAACCTTTCAATGAAGAGCTCTGTGATCCCCTGATCATGCATAAGCAATGGAACATGGTAGATCGATGGGACATCATGCATACATATTACCTGCAAAAGTAAGTACGAGAAAGTAAGTTTTCTTAATCACTATTTTAATTATTACTTATTAATCACTTATTCTATCACTATAAATTTCAAAAAATGAAGTATCTTATACAAGCAAAAGTTAATCTAACAATTTTAATCATTTCATGGACTTTAAAAAGGTTATATGTGTTGCACTCTTGGTTTTACTCTGAGCCACTTGTACTACCCACCATGAAAAGTAAATGTTGAGCATTTCAGTCATGCTAAGTGCTGCTCAACAACAAAATATGGCAAATCTACATTTTTATTCTTAAAGTCAGGCCTCAAATATTTTCAGATCTAGGAGCCAGCCCCAAGACTCAGGAGCCAGATGTGTCTAACCTAACTTCACTACTGTTTGTACTGGGAAATGTATATTTATTTACTTTCACAGCAATGAGTGCATGATATCAATAACCACTTGATAGTATTGCCTGAACTAACTGCCTTTGGTTCAGTTTGAGTCTAAACAGATACACTTATTGGTTGAATTGAGAGAAAGATGAAAAACAAAATGGCATGAAATTAGTAACGTGTTGTGCAAACACAGGGCTTCCTTCCTGAAAAAATATAGAAGTCCTGAATCCACCATTAAAATCCTAAAAACAAAGTTCAACTTAGGTCTCAAAGAACAAGAAAATAGTTCAAGACTTCCAAAAGTCCAGAATTGTTCTAGATTCGAGTTCTATTTAGCACAGCCCTAAGTACGAATAAAATGGGAGGAAATACCAGATGCTACGATGAAATTTTTAGTCAGCATGGCAACCTGGCACCTGTTGAGGCCTGCTTTAAGTTACATCACATTTTGAATTGTGAATAATAGCATGATTAATTTCTAACAATTTAGGGTAGAATATCCCGCTTGCAAAGTAAAATTTAGAATCAACATTATTCATGTTTGTTCTCCCATCATTTCAAAAGTGAATGTTGAGATCTGCTTGAGGAATGCTAAGACAGACAACACGATTTGCAATATATATATATATCTGTGTGTGTGTGAAATAATAGGTGATCAAAATAGAATACTGGGATAGCAAATAATTTTAAATAACCAAAAAGAAAAATATTTGCATCTTTTAACTTTGTTATAGAGCTTGTAAAAATATCAATACGATGGATTCAAGGGCTTTCCAAATCTTGAAAAAAAACAACAACTAGATTTTAAGAATATAAGATTAGAGGTATACTGACACAAAGTCCAATACTAATTTTAAATGGACCAATAGCATGACTATAATAATATACTGGATAGTAAAAGACAATCTGAAAGTAAGAAATATAAATTATATTTATTCACTTGTTTATTTTAGCACAAAGCTGCACAACGCACTGTGTTGTTTGTTGCTGCACAAGATATTCCTCAGTTAATACACATAGACACCTTGCTATATATATGCTCCTTTCTTTTTATGTTGTTTGGTATTAAACAATAGATATAGCAGTATCTGTCATTTAGTAAGGTATGGTTATCAGTCATTCAAACTCAAGTTTACTGTTCAGAAATTAAAAAGAAATGGACTGCTTCTGGGAGAAAAAAAAAAGGTGAATTGAGTAATACATAGTGAAATAAGAGATGTCACTTCCAGTCCAAATAAAATTATTTATTGAATTCTCAATATCTCAACTTTCCTTTGTATATCAGAGCATTCTTAATTTTTACAAATCACTCTCAGCAAGGAAATTCAAACAACCAACTTATATTTGAATTCCATTAAAAAGTCTAGTTTCACATTAGCAACTGCCAGACATTAATCTCTTGTAAATTTTGATAAAAGCAAATGAAATACCCCAGACTATCATATCACATAACTACTGTCTTTCTTATCCCTGTAAATTGATCTGCACTAAACTATTAAGGCAAGGATGGCAAGTTGTTTAATAACTATTCATTTTTTACTACAAATTAACATTTTCAAGGCCTTGTTTATAAAAAAAAATGTGTACTTAAGATGTCTGAGCATCATATAAACCCTTATTAATCAGTTATTCCAGTTAATAAACATTTTTTTACATTTGTATCTTTAGTAATAGACTTAACAAATTGGATTTAACATATATTTATTACAGTGGGCTATTTAATACTTACACATTGACACACACACACACAGAATTAAGAAGCTTTCATGTCTGAAAATAACTTAAGAATATTTTGATTACTGATACTTGCTTAACATATTACCTGGTTGGGTCCAACATGACAAAAATTTGAAATCTTTTCTCTTACTCCATTAGTAACAGGTTGTTCACTTCTACAAACAATCTATTAAGAAATGGTAATAATCAAACTAATGGAGAAAACATTCTAAACAAAATACACAAATTTCTACTACTGCATGAAACACTAAATACTCTAACAATCAGATGAGTTCCAATATAAACACACAAAAGTTTGTTTACATAGCACATTCATGTTTTAACAAAATCATCTACTAGAAAAACAAATGTCACAAAACAAGGCATGAAACGTTTAACTTAATCTTGGACATCATACTAAACTTTTCAATCATGCATTTTCTACATTGCAGTGCAAGTGTTAATTTGAAATTTTTTGTTTTCATATTCTGCATTCAGTGAATGACACCCTAAACAAGCATTAAATGAATAAAATTTCATAAAAACTAACCTTGGAAAAGGTAAGTATGAGACTCATACTATGAGTACCACGTACAAGATTTACCCTAGACAAAAGTGAAACTGGTCAGCTATCACTTCTCAGTTCAGCAATGCCACTATTTACTATATATGTATCTGCATGTACAACTTGATGGGGAGAAACTACTATTTAAATATCACATTACCTATATTATGTACAATATTTTAATTTGTTTTCTTTTAGAGTTCTTTAAAAGTTGATTTATTAAAAAAATAGGAATGTTGTTTCTCCCATATTTAGGTTTGAGTGAATAGTCACAAGCAACTTACATAGGCTATTAACTTGTTACAGTCCAAGGCTTGGATTTTTCTATCATCACACTGGCAAAATACTTTGAAATATCAGAAACATCGATCATCACAGTTTTTGTAGAATTAACACTGTTTTACGAGGGTTCATCAGTTCCAAGAATAAAAGCAGCTTATAAACACCAAATTGTTTGTAAACATGAGGTCTACATGTCAAATTTTCCCATTGTTTAAAAGGTCAATCAACAGCCTTCAAGTTTGATTATAAACCATCTGATTAGGGGGATATGATGTAGTGTCAAAACGACAGCTCAAGAATTTATATTTTATGATTACTGATTTCAGTTCTGGTGTAGTAATGCATGTACTAAGAACACTATACCCATTTTAATTAGTCTAAACATTCCTGTAATTGAAAAAAGCCATTTTGCCAGGGTGGGGTGTATTAATAAAAACTGACCTATCTTACCATGGTTACAGTATATGATTGTTTTAAAAGTAGATACAGAATGTGTATTATAAATAAAACTTCAACAAAATAAAAAAAAGTTTAATATCCATAATTTGATATGTTACTAATAAAATTATTTAATGTAAAACATATTTGATTCTTTCATTCAATCATTTTTAGTTTGCACAAGGTGATTTTCCTTAAGCAATTTATATTTTCACAAACTACACTCATACTATAAGGCTATGTCAACAGTACTTTGAAAATAGGACCATGATACAAAACAAAAAAATTTCAATAAACCTTACCAGGTCAGGGGATAAGCCTAACCCTCGAAGCTCACGAACACTAGCTTGTGTTGGTTTCGTCTTGTGCTCTCCTGTTGACCGTGGCTACAAAACCGCAATGTTTGCTTATAACTTATAGTACATTATTAACAAATATTATTTCTTAAAATGAAATAGTAGTTTAAATAGTGACAACTTTGCTGTTAAATACTTAATTTTCATGAAGCATCAGAAGATATTTTTATCATTCTGATGTATTTCATTTTATAGTATACAGTATTAGAAGATAAGCAAACTATTCACTTTTTTTGCTATACTGTATTTAAACATTAATTTGTTTGTTGAATTTCATGCAAAGTTACTTAAGGGCTATTTGCACTAGCCATTCCTAATTTTGAAATGAGGGACTAGAGTGAAAACAGTCAGTTAACACCATCTACCACCAGCTTTTGTGCTACTCTTTAGCAATGAATAATGGGATTGACTGTCCACAAAGTTGAAAGGTTGAGCACATCCAGCAATGGTTTTCAATCACAACACATGTTGATCACTTAACCACCAGGTTTAGAACATTAATATGGCTTTATTATGGACTAATCATAAATTTTATACCTTTACTTCACTCAAACTTGTTTTGACTAAATGTTTCTTGTTTTTGAACAAACTTCTTCATTGAACCTTTTAGACAAATTTCTGATTTAAATATTTTCATATAATTGTGATGCCTCATGTATATTGGTGTAAACTAATTGAAAAACTATTATTTGCCAAATATTTTTCCTTTTATTCAAAAATACTTCATTTACTCAAAAACAGCTATCATATTTTTGAAACTGGCTAAAAACATTACATTTTAAGGATGTTCACAATTCACAAATATTATAAAAACCAATGTATATTCTTTCAGTATTAAGGTCATACTGTATATTTTCAATAAGAACTGTTAAAACAATGTTCCTATAACAGAGGCTTCCAAATTTAAACTTCATAAAAGTTTTGTTTTTAATAACGGATTCTCCATAATTCAGCTACACAGAATTCAGCTATTTCAAAAATAATATTCATTTTTTTCTATCATGTAAGGATTTTTTACAAATTGGGGATAGAAAAAAAAACAAATCTTATTTAGATCAAATTATTATTTCATTTACCACAATGAACATTTTTATTATTATGTTTGTTAACAAAATACAAACAAAATGAAGAAAAGGAAGAACATTGATGTCAAATGAATATGCATCCTCATTCATACTGATTTTTTGTGTGTGTGAAATCTGTCTTTTAGTCTTAAAACTACAAGTTGTAGTCTTTCTTTTATGTACTGCATTAAGACTTTTTGTGAAAAATCTGTACGTGATGGAGAAAAATGGATATTATTTTCGGATTCAGCGTACAGGAATTACTGTAGAACATGTAAAAATTTCAAGACAATAAACCATCGCAGGCATGTGTAATCAATATAAACTATATAACTACAAAATAACAAACCTGAGGGACCAAGCTGACATGAACACAACAGAAGTTTTCTCGTTTAACTCGAAACTGAAACTGTCTGAAGGCTTCAACAAAAGGCATGCCTTCAATGTCTCCAATAGTGCCCCCAAGCTGGAAAAAATAATAATCCAAAACAGCTACAAAACCATCTTTCTTAAATAGTTTTTCTGTAAAAGAAATTGTATGAATTTCTACAATATATATATATATATGTATATATACTTTCTTCAAAGGTTAGAAAAACATACTATAAATGTAGGTCAGTATAACCAGCTCTACTATTAAAAAACAACAAAAACGTATTTGCTAGTTTAGACCTTAACTCTGTATACAGGTTCAGTCATTTATAAGTACTAAACCATATATACTATAGCTGAATTTACTAAGCTTGTCTTTACAAAATTTAGTCAGGTTTTAGTAAAAATTAAAAGTATACTGCACACAAAAAAATCAAATTTTGATAGTTTTGCTAAAGATTTGTCTGTTAATTCATGAAATCATTGTTGAGTCAGTCCAAATGAAATGTGATTTTCATGTTAAGAATAAAAATACTTTTTGTTTTTCAGCTTCCATATTTTGTTTGCATAACTTTTAGAATCTCCTAAATGAATATTTTTTTTGTAAATATTTATACCTTCCCATTTTTTCTACCCTAACACTAACTGTAGCAAAATTTTAAAAACAAAATAAAATTAAAAACACTTTTTTTTTATCTAAAATGTCTGTAGATTGTAATACACAATTATCTAACCTAACATTTTCAGGCTTCTAACAGTTTCATACCTACTTTCATTTAATTTTATTGTTCTTTGAATATTGTCTAGTGTAACAAAGCAACAAGTGAATTATCAAGTTGCATAAATTGATGACAGCCTGTGTGCATTTCACAAGATGAAATTGTCATTTAAGTTCTCTTATCTAACCTAACAAGTTTCTGGTTTTTTATATTTCAGTTATTTTTGTGAAAAAATATATAAAAAAACCAAAAGATTTAAGACTTACTTTAGCCTTCAGGCCTTTCATACTCAGATGTCATTTAGTAAGCCACTTTTTTCTCATATGTTAGTTGTTCAAAAAATTCACATAGCTTTCAAATATGCATTTTAGAAAATAAAAAATATATCAAGCACTAGAACAGAATGTTCCAAAACTATTACAGTTCATCTGGTTTTCTAGTTCACATATAAAACTTTAAAAAATCCATGACTGCACAAAACAGTCTAGTCTAAATACCTCAAGCCAGGGTTTCTGCCTCTAAACAGAGATAAATTTGAAATTTTTTCATGACCATCTCATGTGGGTTATACAAGAAATTGCACCTCAAAGTAAGTTTTAAAATTTAAAAATTATACAAATATTGGTAAATAATGTTATATATGGTGAAAAGACAGTAATATTTTCATTATTAATCTGTCATCTTCCTGAACTTCTTTTTTAAGTATGTTCTATACCTTTGTCTTGAATCTCCAAAGGTAAGCATTTCTGTTGTTAAGATTATATCCAGAACATCCTCACTATGTCTAATGTTGTAAATTATGACTTTTCTAGCATTAAGGGTCATGTTTCATTGGTTTTCTGCAATACATTCTGTATTTATAGAAAAACCCCTTTCAACATTGGAAAAGAAATTTTGCAAATTCTCCAAAGCATCTGGAATTATTTCTTATCTAACTTTTCCCCTTACAACATTACTCCCAACTGTTTTGGGGTCGACCAGTAATTTTTAAGCCAAGAATTTGTACACCCATGTTGCTGGCACAGTTGACAACCATATAGGACAAGCATGTATAGTGGTGAAGAATCAAACTTGTGACCCTCAGATTGTGAGTCAAGAATCCTAACCACCAGGCCATGCCTTGTCTGACAGAAGAACGAAAATATAGAGTATCATGTTTATCCTACTCTCTCTGAGATTTACAAATGCTTTGTACTGCCAGAAAATAGTGTCACAATCCCTTTCTTCCACTCTGCTGGCACTTACCAGACTTTTCAGAAAAGATGAAAACATAATAGTACTGGATGATGTATTTAACAACATCAGTTCTGGATTCAAGCAGCTCATGTTCCTTACCAAGCTACAAGTTTCACAACAGCCTGCATTCAAGTCTAAGGCCTGGCAAGTCTTTATCACTAATTTTTGAAGCACCCTCTTTGAAACATTAAGGTCTTCCTTTGTAACAAAACCAGTATAAATTTTGGAAGGTTCCTTTAAAATCTTTATCTGTCAAATCCAGGCTTGCAACAAGTTATGGCTCAGTTATGTTTTACAGTCGTTCTGAAGTGACAAATCTTTCCAATAATCCTCTGACAAAACAATAAGCTATAGGCAGTTAGTTATAAATGGCAACATCAGCTTATCAACGTGCAAATCGTTGAGAAAAGATCCAATTTCTCTAGCAACTGACGAACAGACTGCTTTGGGAATGAAAAGACGGGAATTGTCAGTTTCATAAACACTGTCATATGACTAAGTTTAATGGGTTTTTCTGCACACCCATAATTTAAGATGAGGTAGTAGACAAACACTTCCATAAGACTGATGTTGTCCAGCCATCAATGCTTACATTCTCCTGGCAAAATATCTGCATAAACCAGTAAAACAAAATATGAAATAATCTGATTTATGTAGTTTAGAGTATACTCTTTCTATTCATTATAAATATGTCTAATGGCAATGTCAGTTATGGATATTTCTTCAAAGACAGAGGATATGGAAAGGGTATGTCAATCTGGATTGAACAAATAGTGGCATCTCAGTAGAGCAAGAAGAGGTGGAGATTTTATATTTTGGCTAGTCAATATCTATAGAACATGTTTATACTAGTTAATCAGAAGCCCTTACAATGCAATATACAAAATATATAAATGAGAAATCACAGCACCACCATATTATGATACTCAGAGATGCAATTTGAGAATTTAATATGTCTTTAAGAAAGTAAGAAATTAAAACTTATACCATTAAATTTTAATTATAAAATATGTTTTGAAGCTAATTTTATTAACACACATTGATAATAAAGTATTTTACTTAAATTTTGAATTTAACTCTGATATGCATAATTTGACCCACCTGTATCCATAGGATTAAGAAGTTATTGTATGAATTATTTTTACCCACAACAACATTTACTTATAAGTTTAATTTTGACATTATACCAATAAAATCAAAACCTGTTATGAGAATTATTCCTAAGTTATATTGTAACTATCTTTACTGACTGATAAAATGCATTTGTTAACACTGGAAGTATTAAAAATAACCCACACAGACTAAACTTGCAACTTGTATATTTGTTTGTAAATACACACACAATTTACACAACTATCTGATAATTTAAGTAATCTTAAATTTTCCAAAGTTAAGCCTAATCTGATAACTATTTCTAAAACCCCATGTATGGAACTAAAGGAGAATATATTACATTATAATATATACCACATTACATCTGTTATATTCAGTGCTGATGAGGCCTGTCACCCAAGAACAGGGTTCATTAGGCCACCTGGGATATTTAGATAGTATAATTTATTATAACAGTTTTAAAGAATATTCTGGAAATAACAACTGAAAAGAGATTTCATTCATTATTAATACCTATTACAGATCACTCCAGAGTATTACCTTTTTAACACATTAGTCTCAAATGGCATATTTCATGTGTTTGACACTAATATTTTTCAATTTTCTTGCCCTTTATTCAGAAATCCAAACTTACTGAAGAAAAGACGATTTTGAGACACTAATTTCACTAACTAAAGAATTCAGTCTGAATGTATGATCTGCATATTTTTTTTTACAGATGGAATCAATCTTTGAAATATCAGAAACACCAGTTGATTATTTTTGTGACTAATCAACTTAATTGTCATTTTGATTAATCAGTAATTTTAAATGACATTGATCAATGTAATCACTGCTCATAGGTAATAGTTAATTGCCAAGTTAGTAAAGTTAACATATTACTGTTTAATTATTCCTACTATCCAGTAATCCAAATATTGTCAATATGATTTTTCAAGTAATTCAAGTTTCTTCAGCTTCAACAATTAGTGTCATGACTCACAAAAATAACTGATATCACGGTTTATAATTCATTGATTTCTGATTAACCCAACTATTTGAAAAGTTTTTTTTGTTGTACAAGACTTGAAGATAGCTTTTGTATATGGAAACATCTGTTAGATGAGTTCTTGCACACATCTTAATATATAACGTTGATAAATGGAAACATCGGCACATGTAGATATGTAGATCTTGACATTCGAGTTGTTCAAAGCTTGAAAATAGCGTTGATAACTGAACCAATTGTTGGTTGAGATGTTGCAAAAGAAATACCTGCTGAAGCTTTTCGCCAGCCACTAATCATAGCAGAACTGTCTGGAAAATGATCTACAGGAAATAGTACAGCTTATAAAATGAGTCAGATCAACATAGGCCATTAAGGCAATCAACCAAATTTGAAAAACAATTGAAAATGGCCATAACTAAATGTTTTCCTGCAGTGAACCCCTACTGGTGCTTATTCCACAAAGGTTGTGGGATAGAATTAAACAACACATACCCACATCCATAAGAACTAAGAGTGTGAAAGAAAAGAATTTACCATGTCACTCCTGTAAAACAAAAGTTCTACCACCAAAATGCAAATCAGCAATTGGTCAGCATTTACTAGTGAACCTGACTTGTGCTGACAACTACACAGCTAACAGGTTTGAAATTATTGCAAATGGTCGATCGACCTTTCATCTCTATATTTTGGAAGCCACCTTTATTAAAACACATAAACCTGTCTTTTACCACCAAAACAAATTCCTATACAATCTACACATCCTTCAGTAGGTCTGTGACATTTCTTGATTGGCTAAAGGACATGCCAATCATTGATTGCCTTACTGGCCTACGTTGATCACTCTTTTTACAAGCTGTACTATTTCCTATAGATCATTAAGCAGTATTTTCTGATGTGCAAAAATGTACAAAACTTCAAGTTGTTAGGCCAAAACTGTAGTAAAATCTTCTTACTGAAAATATTTTCAAGTGTATGCAAGTTTTGTTGAGAGATTGACAGATTATATGAACAAATAAGTAAGTTAAATTCTAAATGCAC